TTAGCTGGTTTTTGCCGTATATAAGGCAATGGTGGTATAGGAGCTCAGAAAGCATACAGCCAAAAAAAAAAAAAAATATATATATATATAAACAAAAATGTCCCTCCTGTGTAAAGACATCACCAAGGTTTTTTTAGACTTCAGCCAGACTGCTGAATGTTGTGATGCTCTTGTGAAAAGTTCTGTAGAACTTTTTAGGCACTCTTAACTGTTGCTCATGCATGCAGATGTGGAGGCAAAAATGACTACTTGCATAAGTTCCCTTCTGTCTTGTCATAATGGTCCTCTGATGGCTCTGTATCATTAAAAATAATAGTAATTGTGTTATGGGTAATTTTCAACTCTAGCCCATGATCTCAAGGAAGATTGAAAGGCATGGGCTGAACCTCATGTTTGCTTTGACAGGAAGGCAATGCCAGCTAGACAGACAGTTGTTCTTTCTGTGCATTGTAGCATAGAAGACTCAGTGGTTTGTTTGTTTTTTTTATTTGCTTAACTCTGCATAAATCTCACTGAAGAAAACGCCTGCAAATGGTTTAAAAACAGTAGGATAAAATTATTTTGTGAAGTAAAGCAAAGTATGTTTTTGTAACAGCTGGAAGATACTTACTCTCTTTATGGTTGCTTTGTGCTTGTTCCTTTTGCCAGGCCAAAGATGAATTTGCAACTCAAATAGCAATAAAACTCTAAACAAGAGCTAGATCCACAGTTGAAAACTGTGCTTAGATTTTTTAAAATTTTTTTTTCTGAATAGACCTTTATTATTTTAAGTGGAGTGATGTGTCTCTAAACTCATTTGTGAATTAAATAAAAATTGGTTTATCTTCAGATTTCAGGAAAATTAACTTGGAAGGACACTCTCAGATGATCTGAGCTAATGAGTAAAGTATGTTTAACTGGTGAAAGTTTTTGTTTTTAGAATGTTGGTGCACTCAGTTCCTACTAAAGAGAAAACTCATTTGAAGCAACTATCATCTTCTTATTTTGTTTCTTTCATCATTTACTTCATATTGAACCACTCAGTTATTCACATGGCCTTTCTGTAAAATCATACATTGGCAGAAGCTCAAGGGCATGACCTGCATTTTGTGTATAAAAAAATAGAAATCCACAGAAAGGAGGGAATTGCAAGCCATGATGTACTTTTCTAATGAAACTTCTACACAGCTTTGCTGCTGATTTCTCCTTATTTGTATGTCTTACAGAAAATGAAAAGCAGCTTTCTTCCACTAACTCCCCCAAAAGAAAAAAATAGGGTTTTTTTCTCTGCTGGTCTTAAGATGGGAGTGGAGATGGCAGCTTGTGTTTTACTTATGAAAGGACTGTGATATTTTTGTGGAGCTTTTTAAGAAAACAGAACATTAAATAGCTATTGTACTAAGGGACACCAGCTGTGAAATACACTAGAGGTGTATTTCTGAATTGTAACTTGCATTTTGGACTTGAAACAGTATTTTCATTCCCTCAGTGCTTGTGACAAGTATTAAAAATGAATTGGTAAGGGTAATGTTAGTCCTGTAGCAGCTGGAATTTTAGAGCCAGGAGATGGTTCTCCTGATTGGATGCTGCAGACAGGCAACTCCCTGCTTTGTCCTCCAGCCAGTTGTGCAATGTTCAGGGCTGAAAATCTGTCAACATAATTTTTTTTTTTTTTGGGACACTTGTAGAAGCAGACCATCAAAGCTCCATAACAAACACACTTAAAAGCTGCTGGAATAATGATTTGGATAAGAATAATTAATTTAATTAACTTAATTCCAGATTTTGAAGAGCACAGTGGAACCACCAGAACAAGAATATTTGACATCCAATTATGTTTTAGTTTGTTATATTTAACAAAGTTTTTCTCTATTGAAAGTGGAGAGCAAGAAGTTTCTGTTTCAGGAGATGATTATCTGGTTTACAGCATATTTCAAGTCCCTTTACCCTTTTATCTGAGCTCACAGAAATACTTCATACTCTCTACCTCTGGCTTGAGTTCAACTTAATTTTCTGGAATTTTATTTTAAGCTTTAGAGACATCCCTTTCTTTGACTCGATAGATGGGCTTGTGACATATTTGAAAAGCAGAAGGCTTTATGAAAATATAAATGATAGTTGCTGTTTCTGAGGTGAGGAAACAATGTTGGTAATAGGGGAGTGGCTGGAGTCCAAAGTATATACGTAAACTAGTTTTCCATTCTATGGCTTTTCTTTTGGCATTCTCAGAATTACATGTAGACAGCAGTTGTTTTTTGGTGGTGTACCATTTTGAAGTGGACTACTGTGCTGGAGGGATGCAATAACCCTTCATCCCATTTAGTGGACAAAAGGAGGAAGGGAAATAATGCTTTTAGATGCTGTTGTTAAATGGCAAACTGCTAGAATTCTTGCAGTTTCACTTAGTCACCTGCTCCCTTCCCTTGATGATTTTAAGTTATGCATGGTTTAAATTTAGATTTATGGTGAATATATTTTTCTTGACAAAGGTACAGTACATTAGTAAAACTCCCATGTATTATACATGTAGAAGTTGGGCAGCTAGTGGAAGCTAGGGAAGGAAATAGAGTACTACCAAGTGTATTTAACAGTATATTTAACAGTATATTTAACAACATAAAATTATCTGTTCATATCTTCCTAAAATACAAAGGTGGCACTCCTGGTGCCTCCCCTATTTGGGCTACCTGCTGAAAGGGTGAGAGTGCTTTCAGTGATCTTTCCTCTTTCCGAAACTTGTCATTGTTAATTGATTCCTACCACTGCCTTATAGTAGATGCAGTATCATCAGGAAGAGGGGTTTTTTGGGGGTTATTTATTATCCCATCACAGCTTCATTTCTGAAGATAATTCCCTCAGAAAGAGCGAACACCTGCCCCCATGCTGACAGCTTTACCAAGGGAGAACAGCTGTCAAATAAGTGAGACTGGTAGTTTTATAGATACCCATAATCTTTTGGAGAAGTATTAGGAATGGATACCCAGCAGTTTCAATTCTGTGACTGATTTAAGTGGCCATCTTTCAGCTCTTTGTTGCCTTGACTAATGCTGGCAGCATAAGGAGCTGCACGGTTCCATTGTGAAACACACTTTGAAAGATTAACATGTGCAGGATGTCTTCAGAGGAGGAAAACGGAAAGGAACAAAAAAGCATATTAAAAAAAAAACCCAGATTGAATTTTGTAGTTTCCTTGCCAATCAGAAAATAAACATAGCTGAAAAGACAATTGGGACACCAAGAAGTGGAAGGGGCACTAAGGAGTTTTCTGGCAGAAGATTTAAAAAATACCAACAAAACATAAATAGATTATGACACATCAGTTCATATTTTTCCATTGAGAAAATACAGTCCCACCTACTCAAGTTTCTGAAAGAAATATGCCAGCTTCTGAGAAGCTGAAATACCAGCTTTTGGTCATGTTTCTTTTGATACATTCTTTATATCTTAATAGGACATAGGGACTGTGGTGATTTGTTATCATTTAAGTAAGGCAACTTCTTCCTTGCAAACAGCAGCTAGTTTTCTGGTAGATGCCTTTTATGGTGCACTTGGGTTTTAATGTTTCCTCAATCATTTCCTTTGTTGCAGCTTAAAAAGGCAAAGACTGGCTTGCCTCTAAGTTTCTAGGTAGGTGACCTGACTCGGTGAGAGAGGTTTCTTTGCAAGGTTTCCAGTGTGAAAGGAGGATGAAATTTCTTGGCCATAGGGAAAGTATTTAATTCTTTGGACTTTGAATTTACTTTTCAGATCTGTTCAGACTATAGATTCCTCACATGTGTTGGTTTTTTCCTTACTAGTGACTTCAACTGCAAGTTGTGCACGGAAAGGTAAATGAACTTTACAGGCCCCTGAGGATCAGAGAGGAAAGTGTTTCATATCCATAGTGTTCTTCGGGCTGCAGGTTTATGTAGAACTGCATTTAAGCATAAAGAATGGCAAGAAAATAGCTGAGACTTTACTGAAAACACAGGGATTTTGCTTTTTTCCTGTTTCTGCTCTTTCAGTGTTGCAGGATTTATTGATGTCTGATATTTATTTTATTTTAAATTCTCCTGTTACTATTCTTCTTCCCTCCACCAAGCCCTCGGGGACAGGGCTGTCTGCCCTGTAACTTTTGCTTGTCATCGTTAGCGCTCCGTTATCTCCCGTGGCTGTGTGAGGACTTTAATCTTCCCTGTAATTGATGGTGGTGATTGCTGCTAAAGCTGTAAAGGAAAAGCATCCGTTCACCTTCGTGTGAAAATGGATGATTAACGAACTCAAGAATGTTTCCTCTCGGCTCTGAACTGAGTATGTAAGGCAGAGTACCTCAGGCAGTCTAATTTCCTGGCTTGATAATAGACTGGGAAAAGAGCCATTTGTTGTCTTCAGGGTTGTCCATATATGGACAAATCTTTTGCTGGGCTGAGTGAAAACAGTCATCTTTCAGGAAAGAATAGAATGTTACAGGATTTTAGGAAACAAAGGTTTTATAAGCAGAGATCTAGCTTAGAATAATGGAAGATAGTTTGCTTCAACGCACTTGAGACCAGCACAGGCTCAGGTTTGTATCCTGGAAGTGTTTCAGAGCATGGCAGCTCTAAATGTTAAGCTTACTGCAGTTATTTGGCAGCCTTTGCATTGAGAAGGACCGATGGTGATGTTGGTGTAGGTGACCTGCAGACTTTCACTGCCTTTTTATTTAGATGTGGATTAGACACTAAGAAGACATTTAAGGTGAAGTTAAATACAAGAAAGATTGAGTCTTTCACCACCTGTGTCTCAGTTGTATGCTTGTTTATCATTGTATGAAGACCTTTAAGAGTATTCCTTGATGATTTGGAGAATCAAGCTGATCATTATTACTTAGGAGATCCAAGAATAGCTGAATAATTCTTGAGTCAACTGCAGAATTATGGTGTGTTTTTCCTACTCACTTAAAACAGGGGTTTATGTGGGGTCCCCCCTGTTTTTATTATGAAATACAGACTGTGTGTGTAAGCAGTGATTATCTCTGCTTTTTATCATGTGACGGACTTGAGGACAGGAAGCAGGTGGGGCAGGAATACATCAAACTCATGGTTGAAGGATTCTGTTTTATCTACTAATCTAGTTTCTACTGGTTACAAAAATTTTATGTGTAGTGTCTTTGTTTCAGGTGTAGTTGAAGTGACATTGATTTCTAAAGAATAGGGACTGTAAAAAAGAGTCCTAGATTTCTAGTAAGGGACTTTGTTTAAGACTTGTCCCAGTGATTGTGTTCTCAAGACCACAGGAGCTCTGTTTAGGATACTGGTTTACTTCTGCCCTAAGGGAGATACCACAGATTACAGGATAGCAAATTTTGCTACGTTAATCTGGAGATTCTATTAGAGTTGTCGGCAGTCTTGAAGATGATTACATTTTGGCACGCTGTAGTTCAGAGCAGCTTTAACTTTTTTCTTCCTACCTGTTGTACTTGTAAGGGGAAGTTATGTTAGAGAAAGATGGCAATCTTTTCTTTTTTTAAGACTAGTGGGGAAAAAAGCAGCGTATGTGCTTTAGGCATTGCTGAAAGTTACAGCTGAACTTCTTACACAGAAATAAAATATTGTACAGTAGATTGCTTAGATTTGACAGATGCTTGAAACGGGATAATTCTCTTTTTGACAGTAGGGAAATGCCCTTAAATATTTTTTATTGTCTTAGGGATTAGGTCAAAAAAGGTTATGAAAATATCTTTGGCTACTGAAAGTATTAAGGTTACAATTGAGGGAGGAAGGAATGGATATAGAGCAAGACAGCAACAATCATCCTGTCTTTGAGACTGGGGTGTGTTAAGTGTTATCAAGAAACAGTATCTGGATTGACTGTGTTACTGGGCAGGACATCAGATAATGTAATGCAGTTTCCATAATATTGCTGTAAATATGTGGGATTCTGTAACTTAATGCTCTTCAATCAACAGGAGATTGATGTGGCCTTGCTGGCCTAAATTTTTAACCTTATATTTTTCCATGCTGTGGGGAAAGCACTTTTTTATATGCTTATTCTGAAAAAAGAAGGATTTTTTAATTTGTGTTTTATGATTTTTTTTAATTGGAGCAAAAAAAAAAAAAAAGCTTTGTTTCTCTTTGCCCTTTAAACTTAGCAGTGAGTGCTTCAGTTTCGTGATCATCTTACAGTGCTTTCCTCTAACAGAGCTGACTTAGAACCTTTGCACAGATCTTCAGCTGTGAAAACTATTATTGCATTTTCTTGTCTTTCTTATTAGGTTGGGCTAGTTTAAGCCTTTTCCTGTTTTTACTGTTACAGTTTTTTGCTGAAAGTGAAAGACAGTGCTGCAAAGTAGTTTCTTATTACTACCACCTGCTTTCAGAAATACCTAATCCCCTATTGAAAGCAAGATCCTGATCTGGATCTATAGCAAACACTGGACCATTTTTTCACTAGGTGAAAGGTTGGGGTTAGGTAAGGTTCAGCTAAGAGAAATGGACTGAGCCAGATAAAATGACATTGTTTTCTTGACTAATTTTTGAAAAAGTTTTGTTAGATGTGATGTTTACAATAATAACTTAATTTTTCAAGGACAATAAATATGAAAACATACATGAATAAAAGTAAAATAAGGTGTAAGTTAATTTTATTTTTTCATTTCATTTATGTTTATGCTTTTCTTCAGAAACTGCACTAATACTTGGCTTGCATTAGTTAGGTCAATTGAATGGTGTATTTACCAATACTGAGCAGTAGCTGTCTTCATTCCAGCCCTAGCCTGAGCTTTGCAATGAAAAGCATGCTTTGAAATAAAAGCACAGTTTTATTTAGCATGAAATATAAGATTTAGTGGCATGTTAGTGAGAACATGTTCAAGGATAGCATAACAAGATTTTAGATTTTTTTTCTGATAAAAAAGTAGCTATATTAATGATTTGCATCTGTCCTATATATTTTTTTTCTTATATTTCTGCACTGCATGTAGTACTTTCTAAGATCCATTTTTATTCTGTTTCTGGCAGTTTTACTCTCTGTAAACTCTCTTCCCTTGTATTTTGTAAGATTGCTTTTTGACTGTCTTCTTTCCAATGATCTCCCAGCTGAAGTGTATTTCATTCCCTGGCTGTTGAACTTCTAAGAGGTTTTTTGTTTTTATTCAGATAGCTTGAGAACTTTTTCCTTTCCAGGCTGCCACAGGCTGACTCCTCCTCTTCTTCATCTGTTTTTTTGGCATCATTGCTGCACTTCATGGCTCTGTGTGCAGGTCTGCTGGAGCCTCAATCTTGGTTTGGAAGAATGAGAGTTAGATGATGGTGCAGATTGCCTGCATGACAGATTACTCCAAATGTCTACTCACAGCTACTTTAAGGAGAAGAGGAACAGAGGCATAGGGAGGTTGCTCAGAAAGAGCATTTCAGATGGTGGGCTGAGTGAGAAAGGGTAAGCATTGGGTCTTTGAGGGAGTGGTTTAAGCTGAGGTTTAAGGAAGAGTATGATCAAGTGGAGAGAAGAGAAGGCATTTGGGGAAGATTTATTTGGTCAGGTTACAAAGAACCACTGACAATTTTCTCCTATTAGATGCTCTGTTCTATCTGATTTATGGTGATGGGGTACTAGGTTGCTCATTGTTGAAATTTCTATCTGCTGGATTGTTCTTCCATGGCTGAGATAGAAATTTAACATTAAGTGAAATACTGTGGCTGTGACCATGTCCACATTAGTATGTTCAGGTCAGAAAGGTGATTTTAAGGTGACTGTCCTAGTTGTTTTCATTTGTTCTTGGATCACATCAGAGAATGGTCAAACAGAGCATCCATCCCTTAACTGGATTATTTCAGACTAAATAAAACTGGAATGTGCACTACCACATTTCTCTTAAGAAGGAGGTTTGGTGTATAGGACCAGAATAGATAGTTTGATACAAAATTAACCTAAACATTAAAAGTTAAAATTAAGCTAAACATTAAAACATAAAAATACTGTAATCACCTACTTTGGTCTGGAAATCCACTCCTGGGTAAGCTGTGCTAATATAGGCACAGGCCTGATTTGCAGCTCATTCTTTGAAAATTTAGCAGTACCACAGGAATCCTTTACAGTGGTTGTGGTGGTAGCAAAATGGGGTACCCAAGATGTATGTCATGCATTGAGTGATGTTTTGCATTCATCTAAGTGTCTGAAAAATTACTTTGAAGACCGGGGTCTCCTGAACAGCTTTGGCAAAACATGGTGGAAGTACTGTGGAATACTGATGTAAGAATATTTTGTGACCCATTGAAAGGAGCTTGGATGAATGCAGATGAAGAATTCTTTTACTGTGGGGCTATTCAATCTGTCCATGATTAATGTGTTTGTAAAACATAGTTAAGGCTTATATATTGCACTGTTTTGAGATGCTATCTTGGGTTTTGGTGATTTATTAATGTTATGAATTTGATTCTGTCCAACTTGCAAAGAAAATCAGAATTTTTATTCTGCTGAGGAGCAGCATTATGCAGTGTCGGATTTAGTTATGGAAAGTGCTAGTAAGTGTGGTTATAAAAATGTCCAATCTACTTACAAAGCACAAATGACAAGAGAGGAACATTGCATTCTTCCCCACACTTAAGTGCTAATGTGCCACCATTCTGGTTTGTAACTCATTTTGTAGACTACTCCTTTAGTTTTGGTTCTTTTTGTATTTATATCAATACTTAATCTGACAGAAGAGCCCTAATTTAAACCATATAATATGAGTTTTTTGACAAAATTTGTGAATGTTGTTTTTTTCTCCTTTGTTCTCCTGTATCTAGCCAAGTGCATATTTTCCTAGCCTCACAATGGCTAATGGACAGACCTATGTCCCCTTTCCTGATTATCTAACCTTGTCAAAATAGCCTTAGTCAGAAAGAACTGAAGGACTATTCTTTGTGAACTGTGTTCCCAATCCTGTACTCCTCACATAGGGTGTAATTCCAGTGGTATGTTTTAATTGTGACTAGATCTTTTCTGTTATCTTCAGACTGTCCTTCGTGGTTCACTTTGCTTTCTCCCATCTTTGTTTTTTAGTGTTGTTTCTGGTTAGATAAGCTAATTGAGAATCATTCAAAGTTTGTCTGGTTTTTAAACTGGCTGCTGTAAGAGAGTGAGTGTGGTGTAGAAAAGCAAGAGGCCAATTTTGAGCTTCAAAATTCCTGTTTAGCAGTGCACGTTGTCACTTGCAGGTCATAGGAAAATCCATATTTGCAAAAATAAAGGAAACTGAACAATGCACCCTCTGTTGAGGTCTGTGCTGATACCAGTTTAGTTAGGCTTCTATTTGTGCTATCTGATTTGATATTTTATGCTTCTGATACATGTAACATTTGTTAAGCCTAACAAGAAAGTGTGTGTTTCAGCAGTGGAGCACAAAAAATGGTATTATGAAAAGCATGAGCTGAACGTTTCTCTCATTGAAGTCTGTAGTGAAGGTTTCCCTGACTCTCAGGGGCTGGGATGAATGATTTGGTGGCTGCTTCCAGGTCTGAGGCGATGGGGCCCTTCTTACATCTCTGCCTGATGTGGGGAGATAGATATTCATAGGATGGTGCTTGCTTGGGATTTAATAATTTGTGTTTTGATGAGTAGCCTTTTTGTTAGTTTTGTTCAAAAGTCAAACAAGACAAAATAAATTTAAAATTATGCATGAGTTGTAATTGACTTATTCCTAAATACTGTTTTTCTTTTGCCCTTCTTAGTAAATCACTGGTTTTACCTTCAGCAGGTGCAGCATGTTCTCCTAATGTTGTTTTATATAGACATGGTCACAGTTATTTGCAAGTGTTTTATTTAGTGATAACGAGTCACTTTTCTGTTTTGCAATTTTGTGTATTTCGTTGCTATCACTGTAATCATCTCTAGCACTAACACTGCACTGCCAGAAACATATTAAAGTGTGGTGTTACCACATCTCTTTCTTGATGTAATTCAGGGAGTATCATGTACACTGACATTTGTATTGTTTGGTAACGTTAGGAAGTAAGTGTGTGTGTGTTGTGGGTTTTGTTGTTTTGTTCTTTTAAGCCAAGCAATTCTACTGCAGCAACATTAGTGGTTTGTCAGTTGGTTTTGGTATCCAGAGATTCTGATGTGAAGTTGCTTTAGAAAGTAAACTGGGCAAACACTTACGTAGTAAAACCTGTACCTATACTGATGTCAGCAAAGTTATCCAAGGCTGCCTTTGACTCCAACAATATAAACTAAGTAGCTAAGAAGTTTTGAATTTTAGTGGTGCCATGTAGCTCATATAGAGGACACTGGCAGCAATGTTTTTAACCACAGATAAGGTGATTTTATTAATTAATATTTTGCCCAATATTGCTTACAATGCTACCATGTTGGTACTTTTTAACTAGAGTACTGTCTTTTCTGTTTGCATACATTGGAAGCATGTTGAAAATACAGATAAAGAATTGTCATGGATGTGGTTTATTGTATAAGGTTCTGGGCTGTTAGCTGGAAAAATGATAGAGTGGAATGCATGTGAAGCAACAAATGTTATACAAGACTGTCCATGAGCATACATGTGCACATAACAGACATAAACCACACCAGCACGTAGGATTTGTGTGTTTGATCTTGTTTAATGTGCATTTCTCTAGAGCTCATGTTTTATTCATTATTCTTAAGCCATTCCTGAGGCAGCATCATTCTTGCTGTCAACTGCAGAAGATAGAGCTACTAGGCTGCACTTGACCATTTTCATGAAAATAAATCTAAGCACAAAATATATGTTGTTTTTTCTCTGTGAGTTATAGAAGAAATAGCCACTAAAATATTAGGTTGTTATTTAAGCCTCTACCTGCATAAAAGTGATTTTAACTGAGGGGCTGGAGTGTTGGGAAGGAGGCAGGAGGGAGGTTGGGTTACCTGAAGATGATAGATATTTATTTCTGTCTGACTTCAGGTCTTGTGTGCTTTGCACATGCTGATTTCCAATCAGATTGATTATTGTAAGGCGTTTGCAGGAATGATGCCAGAATAAATGCATACATAAATCATTACAGGATAATGATGTTTAACTTGTAATGTAGTCTTGAGGCTTTATATATTTTGGCGATTTATATACTTTGTGTGCTTTCTAATTCTGGAAGCTATTTTGTGCTAATTCTGGAAGCTCAGTTTTGTGCTCTTCTGGCAAGATCTGAAAGCTCCACGTGGGATAGAATGCTATGATGGTGTTTCCAGTAGAAATTTGGAAGCATACAGCTATAAATTTATCAGCTAGAAGGAGGACTGCTGTTTTTAATAATGATCTATAAAACATCAATTATACATTCAGAGAAAATAATTTTAAAAGACAGTAGAATACGTGGTTATAACACTTGACTGATTTGCATTTATGTGGAAATCCTAATTTTTTTTCTTTAAATGTAGTTAAAAAGAAAGGATGACTTAATACTTCTCTTGCATAGATTAACTGTTGCATGGCAGGTATTGAGGTCACACTTCCATAGAGATTAGTTGGTGTGCACTGCTGTTTCTTTCCACGTGAAAAGTGTACTTTGTGGGCTGGCTAAGACAGCCCTTGGGATCATGTAGTATGTGGTCACATTACCAATAATGACACCACATTGGCTCAGGAAAGGCTTGAATGATGAGACTGACTCAGTTTACTCTAACTTCTGAACTCTGGCCTTTCTCAAGTGAGAAATGATGACATAAGATTGTGGCTTTTATTCTTAAATTTCCCTTAAAAAATAAAACGGGCAAAATTTAATTATTTTCCCATTGTAAAAAAATAATCAGCTATCCAGCTTGTAAAATGGGGCCTCTTAAATTCGCAGCATGTGACATTGTTCATTAATAAAGGTTGTGAAGTGAAGCTTCAACCCAAGCAAAAGTGAGGGGAAGCTGAGCAGAAAGTTATAAAGGATTTTATATGAGGATTTCAAAAAGAACTTGTTCTACCACCCTTTGAAGCTAAATAACATGTTTATAAAATGGAGAGCTACCAATTTTACTGTTATTTCTGTGGAGCTGAATGTTTTTCCTGAGGCTAACCATACCTTGGGAACATATTTAATGCAGGTGGAACATGAACCACCACTTGTCCTATTCTGAGCATAGTCAATTAAGAATGTCCATTGGTTTCTGTTTAACCATATTTGGGGAAGTCTTCTTGCATAGCTGGATATCACTCTCATTTATGTTGTGATCCCTGTTCCTATTTTTAACTCCAGGAGACACTAGAGCTAATTAGATAAATATGCAAATGACTAGAATGTACTGAATGTGGGTAGATCTGTAGAATTTTTGCTGTTGTTTCCTGAATGAATTCTTTGGTTTTGCATTCAATATAAGTTCCACTGAATTAAAGTGAGTCTCAGAAAACTTTTATTTAAACTTTGTGATTTATGAAGTGACGATTTTAAAGAATTGTGTTGGGCAGTCTTAACTCTAAAAACAGACACTGTTAACCAGTTATCCATTTTGGAAAATTTATTAACTGTAGATTTAATTTTTACTTTGATAAATGATAATGATTTAGCACTAATTATAGTAGTAATAATTACATGTGATGCTTGCTTGTTTTCATTAAGCTCTGCGAGGGCAAATATCAAAAAGAAAAGAAAAAAAAGCTATCAGCAGTTGGAGCACTGAGACCTTGTTCTTTTAAGGCAGTCAGAGAAATACTTCAAGCTAGCATGTGCCGATGTGGCTGCTGAAAGACTTGGTGCTGATGTTTCTGAGATCTTTCGCTTGCTAGCTCAAGGGAGGGCAAAGGAAAACGTTTCCCCAAGGAAGGAACGTGTTGATGTGCCTAGGAACTGCAAGGAAGACTTTGTGGGGAAAGAATTGAATAGTAGAGAGAAGAGGAGGGGGTGTACCAGAGATGCTGATTTTTGTCAGGTCACATTATCTGTTGAGCTGGCCTCAGGCTGGGCAAAGTTAGGGTCAGTTGGATCCTGTATGAGACAACAAGTGATTAATTAGCCCCATGAGACTGAGCCGTGGGACTGATAAAGCTTTTTTACCATTCTGGTTTTGTCTGGTAGCTAGTCCCTCTCTATAGATGTCTTTATATGTTTAAAGGATTTAGCCAATGTTGCAGCCATTTTCTCAGTGGATGCACAGATATACCCTCTTTTTTACTAAGATGTTTTGCAGTGATCTCAGATATGATAGCCCCCTGAAAGACATTAATATTTTCATTGCAAATGGACAGACCTTTAAGTATTTTTCACATTCATGTGCACATTTGCATTTATATTTTCATGATCAAATTTGCTCATTTCTTTTGGAATTCATACAAAACTAGTGTTGTTTCACGTGGATTGCATGTTCTCAACTTAGTATCTCTAGAGGTACCTCTTCCCCACTGTAATGCTTTTGGCCTGTGTCCCCAAATACTTTTTCTCCCATGGGCCTCAGCAGCCATGTGGAGAAGATGTGACGTGACTGATGGTGTGTGTTGACTGGCTGCCAGTATGCTGATTGATTAAATCCTGGGCATGCAAGAGAAAATCTGGAGCTCTTTTAACCACGGGCATGCCAGTTTACCCAGTTGCCAGTGGTCATAAAACTTTCAGAAATGTAGTTATTTTTGGATAACTCTTGCCCTGTGCTGGTTTTAGTTGAAATTGGATTGTAAGTCCAGAAACTGTTATGGGAAAAAAGCAGAGAGGCTGTTGATCTGGCCAGTCAGGACTGAAGGTGTGAACACTGTGGAGCCTGGATGTTTTCTCCTCTTGACTTCTGCAGTGGTTCTGACTTGTACAGGCTGTTTCCAGATTGGCACAAGTCTAATGGGGTGAATTCAAAGTTCGTTCTTCTTGTCTCTGCTTTGCACTCCCATGTTTTGGCATTCAAATCCCTGATCTCGAGTTGTAGGCACAATGTAGTCACTGCCTTCAGGCCTGGGAAGGTACTGTGGCAAACTGCAGGTCAGCAGACTGCCTGACTTCCTGTGGTGCTGTGTGGATGTGAGTGTGATGCAGCATAACTAGTCAAAAATGCACTTACCCTTCATGGTGTGCAACCCAGTGTACTGAGAGGGGTGGCAGCATGTGACTTTCTGAGGACTCGTATAGCACGTGAGCAAATGAACTGGATCTCTGTTAGCTGGAGGGGTAAGTCTGTTTGCAATCCTGTTCTCATTCACACTGTTGATTCAGTGCATTTTGTGTTGCTGAAAAAGTGCTCTTCCAGGAAAAAGCTATTGGTGATATGCAAAGTTTACTAATATATTGATGACAAAGGAGAATCACAGTGCACACAACTAATGAAATGATTTGCCTGGGAGTCTAACCCCCTAACCCTTTTCAGGGTTCTATGCAGTGATGACCACAGAAATGGGGCAATGGAAAGGAAATGTGTTGCAGGCAAGGAGATGTGGAAAAGAGGATGAGTGCAAAGTGGATTTGTAGGGGAAAAAAAATTGTCTAAGGATTCAACATTGATCCTGTGCATTTTAGTGAGGTTTATTTCAGTTCTGTGCATGATAATACCCTTGGACTTTCTGGAGTGCATCAGCCTGCAGGGAAGCCTCCATGCATGTGCTCTGAGTCTGCTCAGCCATGGGGACCAAGGTGCAATGAGTGGGGTACATGGGGAGAGTCACTTGGGAAGCAAACTTCTGAACCAGTTGTGTATGAATAACCTGCATAATGCTAACACAGTTATGCCCCCCCTAGAGTGCCTCTGACAGTGCTGCTAACATGCTTAAAGAGCACTTTGAATCCTTTTAAAAAAGGAATATAGTTTTTTTAAAAAGTTCCAAATTTTGGTAGCTGTGAGGAAACCAAAGATGAGTGTCAGTGGTGAGTAGGCCTCAGCAGCAAAGTTGGTCCCAAACTATAAGCATGGCAACCAAATGACACGTTTTGGCAGATATTTACAACTGGCAGAAGATACAAAAAAAAAGGAAAAAAAAAAGCAGAGCCAAGTGAGGTGTAAAGGGTAAATGCTACTAAAAAGGAAAGAAAAAAACCCCCAAGGCCAGAAAGATCTTTACTGGATGGAAAATTCAGTCTTCCATGTGAGGAGGAGGAGAAAAGAGCTGTTGCTGAGTTGCTTCATTTATAGCCATGGTCTCCTCTAGAGAGAGATTACCTAGCTCTGTGTGAAGAGCAAGGTGTTAGCTCCTTTTGAGAGGAAAAGGGTAGACCTGGTGAGCTGAATGGGATGAGTCATCTGCTTTTCTAGGATTAAAAATGTTGGCATTGCTTGTAGTGACTGTGGGATTTAAAGTGAAAAACCTTTGTTAATAAGAATGCCTCACTGACTCATTTGTGACTGACAGGTTTTTTTTTTGCCTGAAGAGAGTTCAGTTCTTGCTGTTTGCAGGAGGAATTCAATGGCTTTGGAATTTATAAATTTTTCTCTTTCAATTTCTACAAGGTCAGTGAAAGGTGTATTTCAAAATTTCAAGGTTTGCTTCTTCATGTTTTTCCTCTTCAAAAAAAAAAAAAACCAAAGGAATGATAAAGTTAGCAAATGGCCGTGAGACTTTGAAACTCCAAAAGAGATTTCTGTCCTTGCACACTTTTCTTCCTCCTGCCTGTAGACAAGAGGTAGCTTCGCCTACTCACTTGACTGACCTGTCACTTCCATCACTGACAGTTCTCTACTTTTATGTGGAGATTAATGAATAATTTGTTATTTCTTCTGTCAAACTTGAAAGCCTTGGAGGTGCAAAGAACACTCTAAGCTTGGAGTCATGCAGCTTTTGAGCATGGAAACCTTTGTAATGCTTAGAAGATCTCCAACAGAAGTGGTTGGATCTGGTTTGGCCATTGCATGGCTTGCTTTCTCTTGTGCCTCTAAAAGAGCATAATTGCCTAGCATAATATCAGAGACAAGTGTGCTGTTGAGTACTAAAGTGGCTGAGATGAAAACTGAAGGCTCAGTCCATCAGTGTTATTTTGCTTGTACTCTTCTAAGCTGTGCTCAGTAACCTTCATCCGTGGGAGCTCTCCCTCACTCCTCTGCAGGAAATTTGCTCCAGTTGTTGGGCACTCTCTAGCCTATACTGTGTGCAATTCATGTGTACTTGAGTACCTTGAGAACCATGGAGAAAATGCCTGTTTGTGCTGTCCCTGTGGTTAGAATGCTTCTGTGCTCAGTGAGTGTGGAAAAGCTACGTCAGCTTCTCCAGTTGTTCGTGAGCAAGTGCTTCTGCTTTGCCAGGAGAGTTCACTTTACTGTACAATGCAGAAATGGTACAAAACTGCAAGGAGAGGGAGTGGTATTCTGGAAAGCCAGAATGACAGGAAGGAATTTCTGGAGGAGAAAGGAGAAGCAGTAGAGGGCTGCAGAGCTTAGGGAGCAGGACAGCTTGACAATGTTTTTGGAGAGAAACTTTTTGAAAGGAGAGGAAGAAATCAGGATATGTGATGTCGGCAATCCAAACAGAAGGAGTTAATAAGAGTTGGAGAAATGGACAATTAGTAGTTTTTTGGGCAAGGATTCCCATTGGAAACTAATCTATGGGAGTAAAACCAATAATAAATATCAATGAGATGTTAAACATAAATAGTCATTTCCCATATGTTCTGGGGCTCTACTTCATGTGACAATGTTTGCTAAACAAAAACAATTCCAGTTTAGGATGTTTAAATCAGGCAGCATTTCAGCTGTTTGCACATCAAAATGCAGCATTTTTTAATGTTTGTGGTTACACCTGTTACATGCAGCAGCTGGCAGTTGCATTGTGTAGAAACTGTTTCTCAATTGTTTAAAGAGAAAGTATTTGAAACAAATAATACTTTCTTGATTCTGATTTTTTTGGCAGGGATAGGATGATGGAGTAATTTCGTGAATGTCTTAAGTTATAATTCATTATCTATATTTCAAAGGCTAATTACTTCAGAGTGTCCAGGAAAAGTAGGCTTTGCATGTTGGATCCATGGTAGGTGAGAATCATGAATAAATGTTTAAAAATTGAATAAGAAATATTATTTATATGAAGATAGAAGAAAAAAAAAAGCCTTAAATTTGTATGTTTCAAATCTCAGGCAGGCCTGACCCTGCTTTTTGGCCAAAGAAGTCTGATCAGGGCAGGACCAGATGAGTAATGTTTGTGGTGGTGCAAATCCCTGGTGACCAATTCTGAGCAGCTGCAGTTCCTAGTTATTGGAAAACTCAGGTTTTGACTAAGCCAACAGCTGGGGTCTGGCAGGTTAGTACTAATACAACAAATTAGCATCATCAGCTTGACAATGGCAACAGCTTTAAATGTTGACTAAGAAATTTTAAGTTCTTTATTCCAGTTTTGCTTGTTGGCTAAAGGCAGAAAAAATTGGCAGTAAAGTAAATCCTCTGAATACAATTCACTGTTCTGTGTATGTTGCTCAGGAGTAGCACAGTAGAATTAATTGGTACTATTCATATTAGTGTGATGAAGCAAATGTTTCTTTTTTCTCTCTAGGTTTGTCCAGTCCAGGGAGTTTTGTTGCTTTTGTAAGTTTTGCTCCCAGAGTAACATTATATGCTTAATAGAGATGCCTTCATGGGGATTTTACTGCACTCCTGAGATAGATGATAAAATATAAGGCAAATCCAGCTGTGAAAATAAGCCCCCTAGTCTATTATTTTAAAACTGATCTAATCCAAAATGTTTAATAATTGAGGGGATTGTGCAACAGTCTTTTTTACCAATTTATTGATTTAAGATACTCTTCTGGTCAAATGTGAATGCTGCTGGTGTTTCAGTTTAAAATACTATCTTTCATAAACTTAAACCAACAGTATCAAATAGAAAAAAATGATGGATATGAGAAAGTATGTAGACAAGATGGTATTTTGCAGGCCAGATGAAAAATAAATTTCCATACTTTGGATATTATGCCTGAGGTTTCATAATATTTTCATTTGGCCACCTTCTGAGTGTACAGATACAAAAGCAGGATAGAAATTTTATTTTTTTAAAAAAAGTTTGGGTTTTTTTAAGGTTATCTTTTATATTTGATGGGGTTTTTTTTGTGGTTTTTTTTTTTTTCAGCCATGGTTCATATTTTCCTTTTTTTGAGCTATCAGAAGTGATCTGAGTGCTATGAGCAGTGTAATGACTCCACTACTGCTTCTGCAGTAACAGTTATCCTTATGTTCCTGAAAGGACAGTGTGCATCACATAGCTGTGAGAGGAAAAGATGACCTATTGTGCATTGACAAACAGAACCAAGAAGAATGTAGCCTGCACCACTTTAAAATAAGAGGTAGAGGATAGATGGGGAAAGTAGAAGAGAGATGCCTTTCGTATAAGTTTTTAGTTTTTCTGGTTATTCTGTGATAACTGAATAAATGCTTCTAGACATTGCCACTAAGATTACACATCAAATTACATGCTCAGTGGCAGTTTGCCACTGCCAGGGGCACTACTGCATATCTAATCTGATGCAGGGTTTAGAGGCAGTATTTTCTTTAGTAACAGATGCATCTATTGAAGGTCTTTAAATTTTAGTATTATACGTTTTGCAGTTTATGACAAAAAGTAGTACTGCTACTACATAGAAACAATGTTGAATAATGTTTTGCTCAACTTTACGAACAAGAGTATTAATACATGGTTTTTGTAAGCTTATGTTTTACTTGGACTGCATCTCATGCTGTTGAATCTACAACTGGACCAGAGGAGCTATAAATATTTTTAATTGGTCTCCTTTGGTTATCTAGAGTTACTGTAGTAGATGTACATATGAAATTCCTCTTTGTTT